GGAAAGAGCCTTCCGGGCAGAGGAAATAGGAAGTGCTAAGTCCTGAGAGAGGTGATCTTACCAGGTGTGTTCAGAAAACAGCAGCAGATAAAGTGTGACTGGAGTATGGTGAGTAATCTGGGAGTAGTAGGAGAGCAAGAGGGAGTCAAGTGGGCGGGGGCAGGAGAGGAAGAGTCATGGGTCCTTACAACATGTAAGGTCTCTGGTTTTTACCCTGAATGAGCTGAGAAGACATTGGAGAGTTTTAAGCAATGATAGATGCAATCTGACTTCCTTTAATAAAATCATGATTGCTCCTGTGTTGGGAAATGCCTATCTAGGAGCAGGGGTAGAAAGGAGTTAGAAAATGTGTGTGTGTGTGTGTGTGTGTGTGTGTGTGTGTGTATGTGTGTGTGTACCAAATACGTACATACATATAGGTAAGTTGTATATGTATAATAGGAGTTTGAAAGTCTGTTTGGAGACCAAGTTCAAGTGCTGGAGGTGGTGGGTTGTACTGGATGATACAATGTAGATGGTGGACAGAGATTAAATTTTCTCATTGAATATGTGTGAGGAATGAGAAAACAAAAGGAACCAAAAAAATGACACCACATTTTTGGCTTGGGAAAATTGGAGTGATTAAGTTGCCGTTATTTGAGATGTGGTCAGAGAAGGTTTGAAGGGAAAGATAACGAGCTCAGTTTTACACATTTTGAGTTTGAAATGTCTGTTACACGTTCAAATGTGGAACTGAGAAGCCAGTTGAATATGGGAGCAACAGTTTCTTTGTATTAATGTGTAATTCTGAAAACTGCAGGGTAGTGGTAAAACCTTGGCCACAAATATTCGGGAAAATTACTATAGAATGTGTCTTAGAGATTTTTCATATAACACAACCAGGTGGCTTCTGTTTGCTGTCACCATCATTGAGGACGCTACCTGTCTTAGTTTGTTTGGTGTTGTAGCAGAATGCCACAGACTGGGTAGCTTATAAACAATAGAAATATTTCTCACAGTTTTAGAGGATGGGAAGTCCTGGGTCATGGTGCCAGCATTGTCAGGTGAGGGCTGTCTTCCAGATTTCAGACTTCTTGTATCCTCACATGATAGAAGGAGCTCTGTGGGGTCTCTTTTATAAGAGCACTAATCCCATTCATGAGGGCTCCTCACTCTTGACCTCGTGACCTCCCAGAGGTGCCACCTACTAAAACCATTACCTTTGGGGGTTAGTGATTCAACATATGAATTTTAGTGGGGGACACAAACATTCAGACCATAGCACCGCTCCAAATGCCAAAGCAACCTGAGACAGCTGATGACTCTTACATGTTTATCTCCTCAATGAAATTCCCCAGTCTGCACAGCACAGACTCCCAGGTAGCGCCCTGAGGCAGGAGGGTTGGGGTGAGATGATAAAATCAGTGTTTTTAAAAATCTTCCCATTTGATGCTTTTGTGCACCTAGGTTTGGGAGTAGCTGTTTTCGACCTGTGGTTCTCAAACTTTAGAGAACACCTCGCTCTATTTTGTGAGAATTGAACATAATAAATGTGAGAAGACTTCACAGAGAGAAAAGGAAAATTTTGCAAATGAAAGATATGAATTTAAGTGTCAAATAACTTTCTGATTTTTTCTGTTTGTGTTGTGAATGAGAGTTAACAGTCTATCACTGCATCCCTGTGAATCCTGCATTCCCACAAAAGCACCCTGAACTATTCATATGCACATGCTTTATGAAGTTTTGATTCTGCGATTCAGATGCCTCTAAGTATCTATAATCTTTAAAGCTTTAAGTAATATCACACACACACACACACACACACACACACACACACACACACACAGAGTTCTCATTATCTGTGATAGTAATGTTCTGTAAAGTAACCACAGACGCTTGAATTAGTGAATACTGAACCATTGCTCCCAGGGAATTACAGTAAGATTAGGTTCCTGCATGCCTCTGGTCATAGTATTCTCATCAACTGATCAATATATAACCTTGTTTTACTGGTGTTTCAGACTAAAGACACCTTATTTAATTACATACTGTTGATTCATTAACATTGAACTCACAACCAGTAGCACCAGAACTCTTACCTGAAGGAAGCTTTTCTATCACATGTGTTCTCAGAAGGCACATCACAGCCTTCTTGTGCTTGGGAACCCTGGACAGCTCTTCAGCTCTATGCTTGGAGGCCACTTTAAATAGTGAAATCACCAAGCACAAAGACCATGGCACAAACAGGATACGTGTTTACAGTAGGAGAGCTGAAGCAAGGAGTCAGAGTGTAGCTCTGTTCAACTTCAGCTGGGAAGCTGAAATTCATATTGGGCAGCTCGTCTTTTTTGCTTTGTGTCTACAGACATACAAGAGCACCTCAAGAATTGATTTTGGGATTCATATAAATTTTAGTGAGTAGGCATATTCACCAATGATGAGAATCTGCAGATAATGAGGATTGACTGTATACACATACATGCATGCCTACCTTATGTTTATTATGCATAATAATTCAGTAATTTATAGGCCATGTACATTTTTCATGA